GATTACATGTGATAAAAATAAGAAGTGAATGAATGTGTATTATGAAAACATTGTTAAAAAGAATGATAAATGTTTATGTTATTTTTTTATGTAATTTTATAGGTTTGATCATGATGCAAGGAAAGCCTGTGCTGATTCTTTTTGATATAGGAGCTCACACTCCTTTATTTCAGAAGAATTTGTTAAAACAGTTGGGCTGAATGTTTATAAGACAAATGTAATTTTGGAAGTTCTAATGCCAAATGGATCGATTATAAATATAAATGGTGTATGTAAAGTGACTTTCAAAATAAATGAAAGAGAGTTTGAAGCCACAATGAATGTTTTACCATTGCAAGAATTTGATATGATATTGGGAATAGATTGGTTATCAAGGCACTTTGTGATTATTGACTTCAACAAGAAAATTGAAGTTTAATTTTCATGGAGAAAGAGAGTTGAAATTTTATGGTGAGAGAAGAGTTTCTTCAATGATAATTACTTATTTGAAAGCATACAATTTTGTATCCAAGGGATGTCAGTGTTTTCTTGCTCAAGTAAATGATACAAATAAGGAAGAACAATTATGACTTTGGAGGATTTAATGCGATTATGTGTTTTAGATTTTCGAGGAAATTAGGAGACTCGCATACCGTTGATTGAATTTGCTTACAACAACAGTTTTCAAGCTAGCATTGGAATGGCACCATATGAGGCTCTTTATAGAAGAAAATGCATAACACCCTTGTGTTGGGTAGAAACTGATGAAAGAAAGGTGATTGGGACTGAACTGGTAGATAAGGCTACTAGCAAAATCAGATTGATTAGAGATAGACTAAAGGCAGTTCAAGATAGGCAGCAGAAGTATTATAATGCAAAGCATCGACCAGTGGAATTTGAAGTAGGAGAATTTGTTTTCTTAAAAGTCAGCCCAATAAAAGGTGTTCAACGGTTTGGAATAAAAGGAAAATTGAGCCCAAGATTTATAGGACCTTTTGAAATCATAGAAAGGATTAGAAATATGGCATACAGATTGGATCTACCAGTGCATATGCAAGGAATTCATAATGTGTTTCACATATCAGTGCTTCGAAAGTATGTCTCGGATGATTCAAAGAGAATACGGTCCAATCAATTAACTTGCAACTTGATTTGAAATATGTTAAGGAACCTGAACGAATACTGGAATATGATGTAAAACAGTTGAGGCATAAGGCAATATCTTTTGTGAAGGTTTTGTGGAAGCATGGATCAGAAAGAGATGTCACCTGGGAGAAAGAAGCATAAATGAAAAGTCAATATCCTCATCTCTTTAACTAAGGTACGTTTCCTTCTACCTGATTTAATTTCAAGGACGAAATTTTTTAAGGAAGGGAGATTGTGATGACCGGTTCATTCGGCCAGTTCGGTCGAACCTCTGAACCCCCCTCCCTATTAATCGCGAACAGACATTCGCGACACAGAGGGAGCGGGCAGTCGGCTACATGCGGGAGAGCGAGGTAAAGTTCGTTCTTTTCCAATTTTAACAATCGATCGTGTTCAAGAATGAGAGTAATCAACTCTTTTTCATTCCCATAGTTAAAGGAGTGCTAATTTGGGAGAATTTGCAACAAATGAGAGGAATGATCGAAGAGGAAGAAGGAAGAACTTCGTGGTATTTTTCTTTCCAAAAATTTTTGTATAAATTCCCTTCTTTTATTTCATCTAAAGCAAACGATATTCCTTGAAGGAATAGGGGGGATTGAAATCAATGAGAGAGAATTTTGGAAGAGAAAGAAGGATTTTTGGGAGATTTGGAAAATCCCCATTGTAAGTAATTTCTATCATGAAACTATTCTTAAGTTTTATTAGATAAAGCAAGTTCATAAAAACTTTATTGGTTGATGTTAGAGATTTAGAGAGAGATTCAAGGTTTTACCCTACGCCGAAGACTTGAAGGATTCAAAGTGGATAATTATAATTATGAAATTCAAAATTTAGTATTATTCTTTTGCTTTCAAAGTTTTATTTTAAAGACTACCATGTATTATAAAGTATGTTCGTGAAGAGATTTGCCATTGTTGAAAGATTAAATGTCTAAATATTTGTAAATATTATTACAACAAGAAACAAAAGAATCGAATAACATGTATGTATAAAAAGAAAATACATATATGCATTAAAGAATGAAATCAAGTATATGAATAAAAAGAAAATACATGTATGTATTAAAGAAATATAAAACAAAGGAATGACATATAAAAATGAATAGAAATGTTTATAATAAATAGAAAAGAAAGAAAAGGATATGTATGAAAACTTCAGGAGTTCACCCTCTTATGGTACTGGCTGGGGACGTCGTACTCGTGCACGTAAAAAGGAAAAGGAAAAAGGTAATGGAAATGGAAAAGGATAAATGGAAAAGATTATACCTTTGGGTACATTGAGACAGTGCTCCTGTATGAATTAAATGGGAAAAGGAAATATTTAAGTTTTAAAAAGCTTTAAAATGTTTTAAAGGAAAAATGATCGAATACGTATAAATTATTGAAATGAATTAAATAAAGTTAAGAAATGATAGAATACATATTAAATAATATTTATAGTGATTGTTTTAAATAGTTAACCACTGAGTTTATTTAGTAAACTAAACACACGAGTTTAAATATTTCAGGTAGGTTCCTAAGAAAAGAAATTGCTGAAAGAGAAGAATGTCTACAAAATGCGGCGTGCAAATGACAACAGGTAAATCTACATTTTGTGTTTTAGTGGCTCTTTAAAAAAAATGAAGAAGTGGCATAATGTTTAATGAATTTTATCATCTGACTTTTCGTACCCTCCTCGTTAGATCGAGCATCCGGACCGGATCGTGACATTTTCTCTCATACAAGAATCAGAATTCGTAGTTCTTCCCATTAGTTCCTTCGCCTCCAATGTCGCCGTTTGGATTTGATTTTCCAATAACCTCTTTACCATCAAATGAAGATCAGAAATTGTCTTCCACGGACGAAACCATGTCTTATATAGATGAAATTCGATCCTCCACCGTGGCTTTTACTTGGCTCATATCTCCTTCAAAACGCTCTTCCAATACATCTACCTTCTAGGCCGCCATCAAAATTTATGGATTTTGATCCAAAAATCAGCAAGGGTTCCTCTGGATGTATTTTCACTGCTAAAATTTCAAGAAATCAACCTCTGATGGTTCCAAGACTTGCTCTAATACCAATTTGATAGGAAATACTTGAATATTTCAAGTATGCCCTAACAAGAATAGGGATAAACAACAATAGAATCACACAAAAATCTGGTGGAAAACTTTCCAAATTGTAATTAGATTTGCAAAAGAGATAACTAAAGGAAACAACGAAACAAAGATACAATTGATCCTCAATTCAAGAGGAGGATCGTCTCTTCCAATCTTTAGATGAATCTAGAGCCCATGACACCAAGAAGAACTCTCACGATAATACAATAATCAAAAAATAACCCTAACCCTAATCTCCCTCCCGTACTTAAGGCATACAATTAAAACAATAAAACAAAAAGACCTAAAGACCCTTCCCGCCACCTCCTATGGCTTCAAATCTGAATTTGAAATCAAGTGGACCCCACCCCATCTCTCTCTCTCTCCCTCCCTCTTGTCGCCGCCCCTCCTGCTGTAGATGTGAACCCACCCTTTAGAAGGGGCTGGCTGGACTTGTCTACTTGGGGCCAGTCAAACATTTATATTGATAGTTTAGTCTAGAATGATTCTCATAACAAGACTTTAAGAAATATCAAGAAATATTTTTAATAGCCCTCTACAAAGCAAGACGGTGTCTATATTATTATTCAATGCTAACCTGGTCAAGTGGCAAGGCAATCAAACAACCTGCAAGACCATACACACATTTGTCCATCCCAAATTCCCTCTTGCAAGATATTAGTATGGATTTCATTTTTGGATTTACAAAGACCTCTTACAAATATAACTTTATCTTTAAGGTAGCTAATTGGTTCTCCAAAAAGACTCATTATTTTCCATACAGTAAGATTATTCATGCCTCACATAGCTCTTTCATTCTTTCATGATACCGTTCGACTTCATAGGAATCACATTTCCATAAATTATGAATGTGATACTTGATTTGTTGGATACTTTTTATGCGGTTTGTGCAAGACGCTTAGCATTATCAAAAAGTGTCTGCTTTCCACTAACAGATAGATGACCAAACAAAAAAAGAAAGAATTGTAAGTTGGCAAATCACTTGTTTGTAAGTTGGGAAATCACAAAAAAAAGAAACAAAAAATGAAACATTTAAATAAATGGGACTTAATACTATCACAAAATTTGCCTATAATAATGCTCCACAGAGCCTCTAATAAGTCTCCCTTTGAAATTTTCTATAATATTAGACCTCACATTCCCATTGATCTCATCTATTTACCTAACACCATGCCATTTCTTGGTTTGCTACTGAGTTCTCTGAACATATTTATAAATTGCATGCTGTTATTAAAAGCCATGCTGCTTCACAACCTGAACGTATAAGTTGATTGTTCATGCTTAACCAGATTTTCACGAATTTCAAGAAGGATAATAAGTTTTGGTTCTTATTCACTTAGAATGTTTGGCATTGAATTCTTTTAAGTTACATCATATTTCTAAACTCTTTAAAGTCGAGAATAAACTAGGACCTAATGATTATTTAGTTGATTTTCCAGAAGAGAACCATATTAGTCTTGTCCTCAACATTAAGATCTAATAGGCTTTAGAGAAAATTTCGAGCTCGAGTTTTACCACAAATGTAGCTACAGGTAGAGTTTCTCCTATATCAATAGCTATTGTTCCTATCGCTCTATGCTCCTTCTGAGTAGGTCATCATTGATGAGATTAGTACTGACATCTACTAAATAACAACAGCACCCCCTCGCTAAAATGGATATATGGATTCAAGTCAAGTTTACAAAGTTAATAAATATACGTTCAAGAATTGATTTCCCATGAGTCAGACGAGCAATATGAATCACTTAGAGAAGAAAAGATTGGGAAGGAGCACCTCATCGTGACCATAATAGCCAGATATGCAGTTCATTCTAGGTAGTTCCCACTTCTGAATACTTCCTTTGAATCCAGGACCAACCCCTCCAGTATAAATCGTAGCTTCATCATGGCAAACTGCTAATGATCTAAGAACACCAGGATGAGCACGAGTAGAGTAAAGAATTGAAGCTTTAATCTTCCAAGGATATTCTTCTTTTAAGCTGCCAGTACGACCAAGAAAATCTGGCAAATCACTGCTAAAATCAGAACCAGGGAACCAAAACCAGGGTTCGTTCTGTTCAAGGCTAGGTGCAATGGAAGGTTTAGAAGAACTTTGTTGAAGCTCATTTTCTTGGTTGCAATTCATCATATTCATGCCACCCAGAACTCCTTTCGATTGTGGCACAGACCATCCAACCCCATTCAGAAGCAGTTTAGCGGGGTTGTACTCTGACAAAGATATGTTAGCATTAAGTCTTTGAAAATTCGTATTTCCTCCAATTCTTCTAGACTTTTCCCCAATAGAGTTCCACTAAACAAGAATAACTTCATTTAATTCGAAGCAAATTTGATATACATAACTGAAAACTAGATTTTTGGATTAATGGAATAGCAAGCTTACTTGCCAATTGTGATCCCGATTAAGAATTTGCTCCAAAAGAAACCAAGTTGAACAGCATTGACGAAGCCTCTCAATTCCAATAAGACATGCAAAAGAAGGATATAAAAACAACCTGCAAAATACAGACAAAGGTACAATGTACTTCTTTAAATAGAAAATAAAAAAGAAAACTGCTGTATAAATTAATTAGCACAGAGGACACACACTAAATCCATTCGACTTCCAATCTGAATTTTTTCTTCTGATTTTGATGCCAAAATCTTGGAGTTTTTTCCGCTAGAACCAGCCTCCGAAGTTGTTGGCTGAGAGAAAGCGAGAGCATCAAATATCACTTTCAGTTGTGGTATGATAAATGAAGCTGTTGAGTCTGATCCAATCCTCTGAGAAACTGCAATGAGTGCTGATGCAGTAGCCTGGGCAGCGTAGAGTTCAAAGTTTGGTTAATGCATAACGTCATAAAATTTTTTTACCTGATTGTTTCGAACTAAATAGTTTGAACCCATTCCAACAAAATTATTCAAGTAAAACTGAACCACACAGATCATATACGATGCAAATGATAATACCTGAAGCACAGGGAGGTCAAGATGAGTCTGCATGAGAACCTTAACGTGGAGACAGGTTTGTTCCTACAATATTTGATATTAATTAATATATATGCATCATTAAAAACAATAGCAGCGCACCAATAAGCATAACAACAAAGCATATCCTACCTGAATCAGTTCCTTTAAAATTATCTCTTGAGGCAAAAGAGAAACGAGCCCATCCAAGAACGAAAAACAGTCAATCAAAGCTAAACCTATCCAGCTGCGTATAGGCTCAGGTTTGTTCATGTAAGAAGCATCAATACAAGTAAGAACAAGATTACGTATTAACGGTAGGAGCTGTCTGACAATGAAATTTTCCCCAAGAAGCCCACCTGTTAATCAAACAGATCCAAATGTGTCAGTTGCAGCTACTACCTTAAACTTTTATTAGATATTATTAAGTAAGAGGAAATAATCTTATATACCAATTCTAACCAGGGCATCGATTCCATCAGCAGAAAGGCCTTTACCAAAACAGTGGATAACAGGCAAGAGTGTCTGGATGTCATTTTTGTTAACAGGAACATAAGGAAGTGTATTGAAAAAGTGGGAAAATACAGAAAAAACAAGGTGAGGCATGCGTCTCACCTGGTGAATTGTAATGGGGATGCCAAGCTCTTCACTAGAACCAATTAAAACCACAGACGCAACAGAAGCTGAAACCTTGTTTGGTGAATTGTATAAGTTCGATATCACCAAAGGATGAATACTCTCTAGGTATGCTTGTTTACCCATTTGCTTCCACAGGTCACGAACAAAAGATTCTTGGAGAATGGAGACCTTCAGATGAGAATACTCTGATGCCTACAGTGAAAATTCATGTAATAAATAACATAGAAAGGGTACAACAGCAATCCAAAATGAGAATAATAAGTAACTTAATTAAACTTACTTGTAAAATCTTCTGAATGGTAGGCAAGAGCAGCTCCCTATTTGTCAGAGAGTTGAGGCACTTCAAAAATTCTTTCAATAAGCACAAGGCTGACTCAGCTTCAAAATCAGACAAAGCAGACATGATAAGAGGTAAACAATATGAGGCGCACATTTCTGCAGCATATGGTCCCATTGCTCTGAAAGCACCTTCACTAGCAAGCCTTGCAGCATACCGGAGGCGATAGCCAGGCCTTGATAAGAGTTGAAGTGGAGCTAAAAACAAATACACGCCTCTAACTGATGCAGAAAAGTATGGTGACTCCAGAAAACATTTAGCTGCAAGCCTCCTGAAAATAATGAACTTTTCAGGATTAGAATTTATTCAACAATAGATACAAAACTAAATATTGTTCAAAGCTTGTTGATGGAAATTTGAAAGTTTCTTATCAGATGAAATGCAAGATGTGAGCATTGAGAAGTACACGGTGACATTATGGGTTTTGAAGTCATCATACTTTTTAGTTGAGAACAATATATGTTCTCTAGTATTTTGATTCCTTCGTCAGTTTGTCATCTTGCTTAGACTACAAAGAAAATTAGTTTAACTATCATCAAATCCCCTGATAAAGCTCTTTTCAATCCTCTATTCCAGTAGTCAATTCTCGATTTATGTCCAGCCACTAATTGGGAAAGTTATTGCTTCTATTTGCCACAGATTTAGTGAATGTTACTATTGTTGGAATCAGCTCCAGTTGCCTGTCGTTTATAGGTTGTTGTTAACCATGTTTCTCTTTCTGCAAAACATGTACTTGCTTCTTCTAATGTTCTCAATTTTTTTCCTTGTACAAGGATATGAGCTAATTCCTGTATAGGTTGCAGCTTACCTACAGTGGCTAGACATCTGCTGTTTTAATTCTTCTACAATCGATGTTGTATCATAGCAGGGATTTGACATCTTACAATAGTTGGACATCAACAGCCTGTTTCCTTATTCTCTTGGCTTGGTACTATACAGGAACCGAGTCATCAAGTTGAGTAGGAAACTTATATGAGTAGGAATCCAAGATTGTTGACTTGCGTACTAGCAATTTTATCAATTTTAAGAATTATGAAATATTGATAAAATTGCTAATTTTCAGTATTTTGGGTTTATAATAAGGCCTCTAAGGCATAAACAATCAAATATTTACTTTCAAAATACATTTTATCACTTTCCAAATAAACTTACAGGGAGTTGGCATCTTATATTTTTTGTATTTTCTTATATATATATATAATTTTAATCTTTTTTAAGTTAGTATCATTAATGTGTATATAAAATGTATTTTAGAGACTTTTACTTCATTAAATATTAGTAAGCAGATGAAGGCTGGAATCCATAAGAAAAATATAGCATACTAAAAATTTGAGTAGTTGGGCACGGATGCATCTATACTTAGGCTTTCTTTTGGGCAATTTTCTTATTGCTTCCTAAAAAAAATTCATAAGAAAATTTCTTAAAAGCAGCAAAAATGCAATGATAAAGTCTTAATACATTTTTTTTCTCAAATGTATTTGATGTTGGATGCAAATTCTTCAGGTGTAATCTAATTGATAATAAATTCTGAGAAAACCTTTTTCATACACCAGTTTGGATTGATAAACCCATACCATACCCTTAGATGTCTTGCAACAGATTTTGTATTAATTACTTCTTGAACAAGGCAAATAGAAATACTCAAATTGTGACCGAGAGTTTATGCCACTGTTCAAACACTTAGCTATCCTAAAAATTACATATTACAGAAGGAATTTGTCCTACATTATAATCAACAAGCTTTAAAATGTTTGAACTCACAAAAGAGGTTATGACATAAACATGTTAAATGAGTCAGATTTCTACAAAAATATACATTTGTTCTTGACTATCGTGTTGGAGTTCAAAATGAACATTTTGATGCTTTAAGCAGCGTAGTATTATTTTACAACAATACAGGTTAAAGCCAGGATTTTGGCATTGTAAGGAATAATATGACAGTAATAAAGATTTCAACAAAGTATACCGTGACTTAATGAATGACTCATTTGTGTTTAATAAGGATTTTATGCATAAGGAGAGCTTTTTTTTTAGAAGTTTTTTTTTTTTTTTGGGACACTTTGATCCTTTTTAGAGAGATTTTTTTTAAGTTATAGGTTGATATTGTTACCAAACAATTTAATGGAGATAAATTTTCAGCCACAACTGAGGCAGATATTATTGGTCAAGTCTAAAATGAAATATCGTAGTAATTTTTTTGCAATACAGAACTTGCCAAATGGCAAAAGGAAAAAAGAAAAAAAAAACATTGGGATACACTCCGAAGGACAAATTAGATCGATCCATGTTCATAACCATCATCACTTCAACATCACAATAAAACTATTAATAAGATCATGATATATTTCCACTTTAACATTAAAAAAGTGCCAACAAGATCACTATAAGTGCGAAGTTTACTTATAAAATATTGTAAGTTGTAATATTTGATAGCCTTAATACATAAAAACTTGAGTGATTATATCATTTCTAGAATTCTTAACTATATATCTCATATCTCATATTTGTATTTCAACATATTTCCCAAATTGCACACCTTCAATGCATATCATGTAGTTCTTTTGACATAATATCACAAGGAAAACATCAATAAGATCATGAAACGTTGCAACCTAAATATTAACAATATTGATAGGGTCCTGATTTGTGATAACCATACACAAAAATAGTTAGATCATGATACAATGTAACATGTGATGTGCTATGGTGCTTTGACTTGCTATCTCTTATTTCAAAAAATTATGGATTTGCATTCTTCTAGTATGTTAGCCACGTCCTCAATCGCCAACTCACAAAAATCATTCCTTGACTCAAATGAAAGGATAATAGTTCAACACATAATACTCTTGAGAAAAAGATTAATCTGAAGAGGTACAATTTTGATAAAAGTAATGAGGTAACATTGTGCATTTGGTTAAGTGTAAATGAGGTAAATGAGGAATTGTTTAAAACATATCCTTATTTTGATAAAAGTAATGGAATAAAATTATGTATTTGGTTATGTGTAAATGATGTAAACGAGGACTTTTTTAAAACATGTCCTTATTCTGCTCATTATAAATAACACAGATACCACACACAAAAGTTGAGAACATTTACGAAATTTGGTATATTAAAATATAAATGCTATGATTTCACATAGAAATGTACATGTATGGAATAAGGACTTCCATTTTACAAGACCTTACAAAAAATATTACACTTAAATATGATCCTAGAGGCTTTTCCATGCAATTTGAGCTTCGTTGATCAACTTGTCAAACCAAATAGGTGGAGCATAAGGATACACGAACAGTAGGCTAACTGATGAGGACATCAAAGCATGAAACGTATATCAGAGACGTGGCCAACGATCTACGGCCACGATCGCGCCAATCTATTATTGAGTCATCATATGTATTTATTTTATTTATTTGTTTTATGTACTTGTTTTATTAACATTTCTCGTTTTACCCATAAGGGTTTTGTCATATGCAAGTCCTAGGGGCAATGTCGTCTTTTAGTTCCCTTTCATTGTATGAGGCTATATATAAGCCTCCTATATTTCTTTTGAAGTTAATGAATGAAAGATAATGAAAATTCCTGCAATCTTGTGTTTGTGTGAGAGCTTGAGAGCTTTAGAGAGAAATCCCTAGGAGAGCATAAACGGATCACCCACCAACCTTGGAAGAGTCAGGGTTCGTGGCTATTTTCTCGCTACCTTTCTTTCTCTTCCTCCCTCCCTTACCCTCCACCACCGACCAAGAGACCCTTCCTCCTCTCCCAGCCTAACCACCTTCCACCCCTTCAAACCACCGGCCAACTTAGCTCCACCTCCCTAACTCCCGGTCAACTCCATACCCCCACCACCTCTCCTACTTGGCTACCCCCACCTCCATACCACCACATCTCCCAACCCTAACCTAACATAGCCGCCGGCCATAGGCCTTTCCCCTTGCCTCCCACATTCAAAACCCCTCTTTACTACTTTCCTTTTCTCCTCCCAACCCATTTGGAAAGTCTTAAAATTCAAATTCTCAATCAATTTGAAATTTGAATTATTTCCTAAAATAGAATCCTATTTTAGGAAAATCTTCTAAATTCAAGCCAAATCAATTTCAAAATGAAATTGATTAAAATTATTTTCCTCTTCTACAAGGGCTTATTTAGCAATTCATAAAACCTCACCCCAACCCTATGCCCCTCTACAATGCCGCCGGCCCCTTCCCCCCCCTTCTTCCTCTTTGCCTTCAAAATTTTAATTCCTCTTTGATTATCTTTGTCCCCACTATTTAGTTCCTTTTCAAAATAAATCCTTCCCCATTGGAAAATAATTCAAACTTTGATTTCAAAATTCAGATTTGAAACCTTTCCTAATTGGGTATGATCTATATTTGGAAAGTTTTAAACCCTTCAATTCAAAATTCACATTTAAATTATGAGGAGATATGAGTCATCAATTCCTCCTAATTTAAGTAATCTTATTTAGGAAAGCCTCATTAAACCTTTCCCTAAAACCTCTCTCCTTCCTTGATGCCGCCGGCCTACCACCTCTCTCCTCTTTAATCCTATTTCATTAGGAGCCCCAATTAATTCCCCATTCAAACTGCAATCAAATTTCAGATTTGGAATATTTTCTTCCATCCATTAACACCATCTCCTGGAAATAGAATCCCTAACCTATCTCCCATATAGCCGGCCTCTCTCTCTATCCTCTACCTTCCCCAAAAGCTCATCCCAAACCTTCCTTTCAGGTGAGATTCCTTTCCTCCCAGATTTCCCTGCGGCTGTTTGAAAGTTTCAGCAAAACCTTCTGCTGTCCCGCCATCCAAAGAAGCTATGCTTGCTGTACAAATGTCAAGGACAGCCCAACTTCCTGCTCAGAGATTTTCCGGAGACAAGTAGCTTGCTACCCTGACGTCCAAAGCAAGTTTAATCGCTGTCCAGCCGTCCAGAGTTTGTCCTAGTCGCTGTCCATCTGTCCAGAGAGTCCCCGACTGTTGGCCAGAAGCTCTGGTACCATTTTAATAACCATTCGCTACTCTGGCGTAGGTAAACTTGTCTTCCGAGTCTTATCTTAACTTGTGGATTAATGGATTCCCAAAGGTTGTGTCAACTCGTTCGGTTAAAACATAGTAAGTTAGAGAGTTGAGTGAGGGATCCTTGCATAGTGACTAGTATTATTATTAGCATAGGGATTTCTCGTTGAAAACCTCCCACGCATGCAACGTTAGAGTAATTGACTAGTTTAGGATCTTAACCTCTACGCATGTGATTTGGCCTAAGCTTGTTTTATCGTCTTATTGTTTTTTTCTTATCGTTTAAAATCAATATAAGTTTATTGTTCTCTAAAATTTAAGCATGCAAAAATCATACATCAAATAAATTCTAAGCATTGTAGTCCTACATCACTAACTTTAGGGTTAGTCACATCATACCCAAACTCAAGCCAAAGTCAGACACAAAATCAAACCCATATCAAGCCTAGAATATAGATTGGGTGCATGAACATATAGGTCTACATGGAGGCTACAAAATAGGCTGCATAAAATCCACAAGGAGTTAAAGGAGAGCATGAATTAAAATCCCAAAAATATCTCCAACCATGCAAGGGTCGCAAACCAAAGGCATGAGTGGAAATCCTATTTTTGTGGGATTATCCAAACATATTTGATAGCCTATATATATATATATATATTGAAACAAACTTAAGATAGCTGGTACCCCCACCATCATCCATTCATATATATAGATATATTATTTTCAATTTTAAATAGACCACAAGTAGCAATTTCATTAAACGATTTTAAGCATATTTATGTTGAATATCTGAACTTGCATAATATAATTGAAATAACTCAAGAATAAATTAGAGATTCATTTCATGAGTTTGGCATAGGATTCTACAATAGACAATTAACCCTCAACCTTCTCACATCTAATAAGCTTGGAAAAACGATGATAGCTTTTGGAAGGAATAAAAAAAGTGCAGAACTAACTCCAATTCTGGTTTTTAATTATAAAAATCATGTGCAATCTATTTTATATAAGGAAAACGATATTGGTTTAGCCTAAGGAATGGGAGTTATGATAAAATCAATAAATGGTATTGGTGCCCCCACGCCAAAGTTGGCACAAGAAAACATATGCATTACACTATAAGACATACGGAAAGGTGCAGAAAATAAAAACATTTAGCCCATGCAACAGATGTATATTATTGATAGATGGGGGGAAGGCAAATATACTTCTTAAATGTCTGACACTTACACTTGCAAGGATATACAAAATATAAAGCAATAACAGAAGGTGAACGTGAGATATACGCATTTTATTCCAATTATGATAGCAAAAGCTGGATCATATATGTATATATATATATATAGAAATAATTCCATTGAATAGAATTAAAGTCTCCATGAAACTGGTCTTAGCATGATTTTCAAAACAAAATGGAGGAATAAAACACAAAAACCTTTTCCAGTCCCTTTGAATAGCTGCTTCAACAAGTACTGCGATGCAAGGGGGGAGCTCCTGCATAGCTCCAGGTAACACCCCATTTTCTTTGTATGCACACAAGGAGATAGGATCAAACAATGGCTTTCTCAAATAGAGTTCGGCCATTATACACCCAATGGAAAATACGTCACCAGCAAGATCTTCAGAATAATCTGCAGAAGGAGATGACAAATGCCTCCAATGCAACAACTCCTGGAAGCCTGTAGAGCTATTATCATCACTTTCAAAAAAATCAAGAAGATCGCCCAAGCCAAAAGGAAGCGGCATCGAAGAACTTTTTCCCGCTGTCTCTAAATCACCCATATTCCAATAAATATTGTCAATTACAGCATCACTATCATCATCAGCATCACTAGCCCTGCCCCAAATATTTGGGGTTGACTTATCCATGTTTGGATAAACACTGTGTAGAAAATCTACAAGAGGAAACTTCCCAGCTAAATTTTTATCATAGTTGTATACTGGATTTAAGGAACGTGCAGCCTCACAAAATAAAGTTGCCTCCTCTAAATTTTCCAAGTAGTCGGAATCTGAAAGGTGATACTGGTTGGCTGAAGATAGCAAAGCATAACCAAGATCTGATCTCTCACTAGCGTTCACCATTCCTTCATTCTGTACCCTTTGCTGGATATTATTACCTTCTTTGTTGCTATTATAATCTGACCAAGACTTGAGAGGTCGCCGCATAGGATGTGGCCGGGTAAAGAGTTGTCGACGTCCAGTTGACCTAGGCACTGATGTATCAGATACAGGAAGCATCACATTTTTTTCTGCAATAGATGCTTCACCAGAAAGCTTATAACCAAATGTTATATCAATCCAATGATGGATATACTTTGATACACGGTCACTCTCCAAAGCACTACGATGCTCTAAAATAAATTCCTCTGGAGAGGATGCCCAAGAGGGTACAGCTAAATCGCTCATTTCAGAATGAATGGAATAGAAAATATGAGGATCACTGTAGAACTCTGGTATGCACTCATCTGGAGTCCACTGGTAGAGTCTCTGCATGTTTGAAGGATACTCATTAGGTTCATAAACTGAACGAACGGCAGAACGAAGTATTTTTAACGGTAACCTTCTAGCTTTATAACTGCAGACGGCTAATTCTGAAAGACATTCATCAGAAACATGATGAGGAATTTCTGATGTAGAATAAGTGAAATCCAATTGTTCATCACCTTTTGCCAGCCTCCACTTGCTTTTCTTCAGGTCTCTCCAGCCTATATCAGATTTTTCATCAGGCTTTACACTAAAATCGATGACCCATGGCATGACAGTATGGAAAGTGTGGTCACCCCACCTTCTCCCAGCTAATTTATTCAAAAATAGAAGATATTCATAGTTACTCAGTTCACCTTTCCACCACTTCAAGAAATTAGAGTGCCAGTCCATCGAGACCGACAGTTGCAGATTGGAATGAATTGTTTGGCAGGGACAGCGATCTATGCGATGATGTCCTTCTGAAAAGGATGAAATTTGACGATTTCCACTAATTCTATGCTTCATTATCGACATATCAGCAAGGCTCAGCCAAGCCCACAATGAACCAGAGAGCAGAATGCTGGAAGGGCATAAGTTGCCATGTGCAATTCCTAAATCATGAATGTATGTCAAAGCTGAGAATATCTGGTAAATCAAAAATCGAATGTGCCAATCTGACTTCAAACTATTTGGACTGTAATGAAGAATGTCTTCCAGAGTGAAAGGAGCCTTTGGCTGTAACAAATAATCATAATCAGGAGCATTAATTACACCCAACAAAGGTGCGATATTTGGGTGTCTTAGGCAACGTTGAATGCTATTCACACCAAATGAGGGGAAACCAACTAATCTTAGAAAATTTAAGCTATACTGATCAGCCGATTCTCCTTCCACAAAGGCATTTAGTGATGAGATCACATAATCTTCAGTTGAACCCGATAAATACTTTTGGAAGAGATCACTGATTGCAGAGAAGGAACTTTGACAGGCAATTGCATGAGGAGACAAAACAGAAAGTATCTTAAGGCACAAGAACTTTTCAGAAGAATTGATGGAAGAACTTTCAAGATTCTTTCCGCTAATATGAAGTAAAGATGGTCCATCTTCACAATGATTAGAAGGTGCAACTCCTGTACGGACAATATCAGCTTTGAGCTCATCTTCACATAGAGATTTTTTTGATGAATATTTAATCTCTTGATGTTGTGCATTTTCCTCTGTTCTGACTTCCAGAAATCTGTGAACCAACGAAGAGAGAAGAAATGCATTATCTGGTTAAACCATCATACTTTTCCCATAAATAAAGCAGAAGTGAACCAAAGAGTCCTTACGCATTTTTTTAAGCACCTGTTCTGGTGGTCAAGTAGTTGCACAATAACAATTTGAGCTGAGGCATCCTCGCTACTACCACAAAAAAGCCAATCAGAGCAAATAGAATGAGGTATGAAGGGTGAAATTATTTATATCAGACGTAACCTACAGAATAAATATGTTTAGAGCAGAGATCAAAATTACCTAACAGCATTTTCTTCGGTGTCAGATGAACAAATCTGCAGAGGAGTAGCATAGTGGATACAGGTTAAAAAATCCTTCATATCTTATGTTTGCCTATTGATATATGTATTATGGTCCAGTTTCAAGGAAAAAGCTTGTTAGACCACAAGTAACAGAGATAGAAAGCCCTTAACATTATCACTCTGACTTACAATCAAACAAGCATGAAAGTGGAACTTGTTTAACAAATGTATCATATAAAGGAAATATGGTGTCCTTGTTACAGATAAAACTTGGGGCTGTGAGAAAAGAAACCGAAAAAAGAAATTTTGATTTTCGTTTTCTGTTATTTTGTTTTTTTGGTTTTTACTTGGATTTTGTCTTTTGTGTTTTTTTTTTTTTTTTGGAACAAAAATACGTCTGTAAGATTTACTTATTTTTTGTTTGCAGAAACAATAATAGAAAACATGCTTGGCCAAAAAAAAAAACTAAAGAACATAATATATAAGTTTATTTAATCATACTTAATTCATCTAAGAGTTAATTATCTTAACTAAATATAATTAAAACTAAATTACTTTGATGTACATCATCATAATCACTTATCAATTAACATATCAGGTTAATGATTTTTAAATTAATTATGTCAATCAAATTAAAGCATAATTAATATTTTTTTAGACACTGAAATCTTCAATTGATGTCAGCCTTAAATAATCATAAATAAGGATAGTAAATTTTAATCATCTTCATTAATAATAGCACTATGTTAGAGTTTAGACTACATTTTTATCATGGCTTCTAACTCAGAAAAACCATTGGCTGCATGAGCGGAGAAATTCATGATTATTGAATAAAAAACTCTTAGAATGAAATTTACAGCCCGCATAACTTGCAGCTAAAGTTTAGTTAGTTTAGGTTGGTTTTTTCATCCAAGTTTTTTCCAATTTTAAAATATTTGACCTCAAAAATTATCTTGTTACTGACAAAAATATTTAATCTATACTACTATTACAAGTGTCGCTAGTGATTCTTCCCAAACACAATCTTAACCATGCATTTCTATTATAAATTATAAATCATAACCATACATTGGGCCCAATAACCCTTTCTATTTGTATCCACTGTCAGTTTGGCAAGTTAAATACATATCAGCCTATGCATTCCTTTTGCAAATTAAATACATATGATCATTTTCGAGATCCGTCATCTTCACCATTTCTAAAGAAGCCTCTTCGCCTTCTTCTACGACATTATTCCAATTCGATTGGGATCGTCTTTGTGTGCTTCGCTTGAAGAAGATTTTTGAAAGAGTTGCTAAAAAAGCTTCTTCGACTTCTTCTACAATGTTCTTCCTATCGGATCGGCTTTACATGTTACACCTGAAGAAGAGTTTCAAAAGAGTTGCTAAAGAAGTTTCTTCACCTTCTATTCCTCACAAACATCACAAGCTGATACAACACTACTGATGTTGTCATCACAAACATAAGCCTTCAACCACCTGATTGATTTCCAACCTCCATATAAAAAGTAGTCTACAATCTATAATGCTACCATATCTATATCTCAAAATTAAAAAAAAAAAAAAAAAAAAAAAAAAAAAAAAAAACTTTTAAAAAAAAAAAAAAAAAAAAAAAAAAAAAAAAAACCTATTATAACCATAGAAATTTAATATTGAATAAAGAAAGCTATCTCTTCTATATCTCCACTTTTCCTTTCTCACGTTCAAATCTCATTAATGATAGCATCGCTTTGCTTTCTTCTTGATATTACAACACACTACCCAACAATGGCTAAACTGCTTTTATCCTTCTCTTCCCTCAATGGTATGAATCCACCAGCTACACTCTCACCAACAACTCTAACACAGATGCAAATTCCTCCTTCAAGATAGGCGACACATCCATTCCCACTCACTTAAGTTTCTGATAGATGACTCAATTTTGAATGGAGGGCTAAGATCACTTAGGTTGTTATAAGTTAAGGGTTATGATGATAGCAATACAAGTAATGTTGTACCAGCTAATGATGTTTTCTAGTATATAAATCAAGTACAACATCTTGTCAAGTAACTAAGGTCATAAGTGAACTAGAATACTCAATGAATAGCTCCATTCCAACTCCATTACAATTCATCTTTTCTTGTCTACATTGTTATATGAACAAGCCAAATGAGATTTCGAGGAGTTTGAGATTGAATCTAGCAAGCATAAGAATATAAATGCAAAATGAGCTCATTTATACTTTAGAAATTTGCTCAAAAATAATAAAACACTGGCATATAGTATATGTAATAGCCATTTTAGCTTAGGAATCTCACCACACTCTACATAAGAGAGTGTGCTTATAGAGATGATAAGATAGACTCCATTTTGACCTAGAGTATGAAGGGTTAAACAAATAATAGAATTCACTTTCAATCAATTAAATAAATCAAATTTACCTAATCCTTGGTCTTGAACAACACAACATATTAGAATAATACTACTTTGAGCTCATGAATAATGACGGCTAAACAAATACAGATCAAGCAGCACAATAACATGACCACCTAAAGTCATTTACAGAACTACAAGTAAACTAAACCGGCCCGTATCACTTATATAAAGATGTACTAGGACACCCGTTAGTCATTAGTGATACAAGAAGGACACCCGTTAGTCATTAGTGATACAAGAAAACCAAATACAAGAACAGTACCATATATTTCACTTATATAGAAAAAAACATATGACATTATAAACATAGCATTTATCATCATAAACCAGTTTAATAAGTATTTATCCGACAAGAACCAATTCATTCTGGGCTAGCTCTAACACAATACGGATCTCATTCTTGGTCCAGTATTTATAAACCTGAAATGGATTTCACCAGCATTTTTGTTGTGTCGAAATGTACCTAACTCACTTAGAGGCCCATTCCTACTTGAAAGAAACAAGAGGAAACACCCAATAATAGAATATACCAATTTTCAAGCTTGGATCTCAAGCTGCATTTTCTAAATAATAACAGAGAAATTGACGAGCTTTACATTGTATAATCATGTCAAACTACATAAACATGTACACAAGTTATAGAATCAAACTAACTTAAAATTATCATATCAACAAATGTACTTTGAGGCCTTCAACAAGATTGCTGCTATTTCAATACCAATACAAGGACTAGCTTTCAAGAAGCGAGCAGTAGTGAGGACTATCCTCAGACATCATTTTGCATCGAAAACACATCGCCTTCACGAGTTATTTTCATATTGAAACCAGTAGAATTTCCTTCATTCAGTCACAGAAAAAAAAAAAACAAATTTTAACCAGGAGGGAAGTTTCTAAATTGAAGCAGACCACGATTCTAATTAGAACATTTAGGAAAACGACATCGAAGCAGAGAAGAACGAATATGTAGCGAGAAAGTAAAGACCTGAACAACGGCTGCAGAACCAAAGTTGAGAGCGGAATCAGAGATCCCGTAGAGGAATACGATATCAGGTGATATGTCAGACTCGATTCGCCGCCGCAAACACTCAAAGCACGGCAACACGTCGCTAGACATTGGGACCTTTTCTACTCCGAAGTGGTAGAAGATATCGCCGAAGCCCCGTACTCCCGAGTATGGGACGGCTGCTTCAGCTGGAAGAAGAATGAAAGAAGTGATTTTGGTTGCGAATCACTAGCAGCCAATCCTACTGGTAATCCGGAGGAAGTTACCCTTTCAAACCCGGCAGATTAACTTCCTAAGACTGAATTTAATTCATTTCAATTTTTTTTAGAAGGGATGACTTGGTGGAATTTTAATTAGGGCACTGCTTAAGATAAATTATGTAGGTTAACCATAATTAAAATTTAAATTAAAATAACCAAAATGCAAGATGTTTATGCATAAATGACTTAACAGATATTTTAACAAGTAGTTGTTAGATGGTAACGAGGACACTGAAGTTCTCTTTGACACTCACCTAAATAAATCAATGAGTTCACCCTAGGCAATGATAGTTCATCAAGCAAGTAGATCGTCACTCAGCACTACCTTAGTAATTAGTTCTAGCCTCAAAGCTATCATCCACTCATCCAAGCTTAGCTAAAGGAATGCTCCGTCAAATTTTTATTGGGTGCGGACTCTTGACGTAGCTCTATGTCTGGAGTCCTATAATATCGTGTCATGTGGACCCCATCATTACCCCCACCGTTCTATTTACCACGTTTTTTCCAATTACAGCACGACCCGATGACCCGATCCGCCCTATTCGCAAAAAATTGAAAAACAAAAAAGCACGATAATACCATTTACCATGTTTTTCTCAATTACAGTGTGGCCCGATGACCTGACCCGAAATTAATTTGTATTTGTCGTTTCAGTTTTTAAAAATGACCTGAAGCATTTCGGTTTTGCACAATCGGGGGTTTAGGGTTTTAGTTTACTCCGCAAGAAAGACTTGCATGCGATCTTCATCTTCTACATGAAGCCACTTCGTTTACTCCACTTTTTTCGTTGCAGAAATAGAAGGCATGGCTAAGGTATATTTTTTATAGTAGGATAACCTATACTCATTTGTATTTATCACGTTTTATGGTTTAGGGTTGGATATGGTTTTTTGTACTCTAGGTACTACTGGATACCCCATCTGGGTACCGTTGGGTACCTAGCGGTACCCCATCTAGGTACCTATGTTCATTTCAGAAACAGGAATGCATAGTAAGTTATATTCATTATGTAAATGCCACATTTAGGGTTAGGGCTTTTTTTTCTATAGAGGATACCAATTTGTATATGTGTGTACCGTTGGGAACCGATGGGTGCCGCTGGGTACTCTGTCTGAGTACCGTCGGTATCGTTGGGTACCCCGTTTGGGTACCATTGGGTACCCCGTCTGGGTACCATTGGGTACTACTAGGTCATCCGTATGGTTAATTTTGGTGTGTAGCGCTGCGTATTTTTTGCCGATCAATTACATCTAACTTTGTAGGGATATTTTCTAAATATTAGTTTTCATTGCATAATATCTACATTTAGAGAAGTATGTAATCATTTGGTCGAAACATTTGGACAAAACTTTGTGGATAGGATGACACAAATTCATCTACATTAGTTTCTTTTGATGTCAAGTTACGTTCAAAATGTTCTGTTGGTTTACAAGTTATTGTCATTCTGGGATATTAGTAAGCAATGATTTATCATCAAGGACCGGAAGTTAGGATTTACCTGTAATAAAGTTTCTTTGATCTTAGGCATGTCGAACATAGGAAATCATTTTGACTTGGGAAGCACCCTGAATCATAGGGAAATTCGCAAATTACATTAATAAGGAGGTTCTTAGTTTAGATGACTCAACTCCACTTCTTGATGTGGTGAAGAAATTCATCATTTACTTGTTATCAAAACTTTTCTTTCCTCTGTGTAGCAACCAAAAACCAGCTACTATCCTTAGTGTAGCTCGTAATGTAGATATTTTTTTATCTTACAACTGGACAGAATCAATTAAAGATTTTTTGTCTGAGTTTGATGCAATTGCGAAAACGTTAACGAAAGAATAACCACTCGAATACATGAATAGTTTTATACATATTTTAATTGTGAGTACATACACTATTTTATTTATATGTGCATGTTCCTCGATTTTGCTTTTATACTGACATCCTTCTGTTTTGCTTGCAATTTTGATTTCTAGAGCATACAACAGTACACGCAGCAGTGGATTCTAAATCAAGACCACATTTTTTTTGCTGGGGTTGTGATATAATGTATAGTGAAGCAAAGGCTTATGGTTTATTTGAATGTCTCAAAGATGTATATATATTAATTTCTTTTGATGGAATAACAAGTGAGGAGAGGATATTATCTGGAACACCTCCCCCTCAACACCCACATGTATTAGTAGATCAAACATCCACATCACCTCAAATATTTCCCCACTTACAACTCACCTAGCGCAAACCTCATTATGTTGTTTCTTCACCTTCCAGCTCACGTACACCCTCCAAACCCCTAAGCCCATTTAGACCTCCTAGCTCTCCAAGCACCCACAGCCCCCCCTAGGTCACCTGGACAACAACAATCTACTTCCCCTACTAAACAAGACCATAAGAGCATTGAGGAAGACATATGTAAGATAATGGTTCAAAACAAAACTCTTCAAAAATGGTTATTGCATCTTGAATTAACAACTGCTCTGATTGAGAGATGAATTGTTGCAGTAGAACATCATGTATTCGATCAGCAGGAGAAGGATGGGAGATTTAAGGCTATGGAGAAGTTTCTATATGATAACTTTCCAACTTTTAAACCATTGACCCAAGGACAACAAGTTGAATCTTCTTCTTGGACTGTATGAATACTACGGGCATAATGTTGCTTATGTGTAAGTTGAAGGTTCCTTGTTGCTACATTGAATAGATTTTCATATTACAAATTCTTTGTAAACGTTTGTGAAGGTTGTTAGACCTTATAGAACTATCACAATGCTAACCAAGAGGGGGTGAATTGGTTATATAAAAAAAATTTGGATATTTGAAAACATTTTTCGATTTTTTTTAAGTTAAATCACTAATCCTAAAACTTATAGTTGTTTATAGACATGATTACAATAGATAAATTTTTAACCAAAACATTTAAATGCATTAAAATAAAAATCTAGGAAAAAATTAAATATAGTAAAAGAATACCAAATTTTATAGTGGTTCGATCCAACTAGACCAACATCCACTCCCTAGAGACTCCTTCTCCAGGTATTGCACTAAATACAAATGACTCTCCTTTTCCTCCCATAGTAAGGCAGAGAACTCCTTACAAACTCTCTTTCAGCAAGTCGGTGCGGCAGAGAACCGTCATCTTTTACACTCTCCAAGTGATGGCAGCATACCTTCTCATCCTTTTTCACCCTCGTAGTGAAGGCAGAGTACCTACACATCCTTTTTCACCCTGTTACTGAAGGCTGACACTACAGGAAAATCAGGCATTTCTGACAGATTTTCCGGTGACTTTCCGACGGACTGATTTCTAGCGGATTTTCCGACAGATTTTCGACGGATTATAATGAAATATTTCCAACATATTTTTGCAACTTTTTCGGCGGCTTTTTACATAGACTTTCTGACATATTTGTTTCCGGCGAACTTTCTAACGGATTTTACTAATTTTTGTAATTTTTTTTGCAATTTAAATGATTCATACTTTTATAACTCATTTAATTAAATATTAATAATTAATTTATTTTAATTAATTATTTATTTCAAACCTTATTTTAAAAGTAATAATTATTTTGATTAACGTCGAAATTATTTTCGCCAAAAATTCTCCGGAAGATTCAGAATTTTCCACCTGAAAATCCACCAGTAATTCACGATTTTCCTGTAGTGTGACAACCATCATATCCTTTTTCACCCTCCTGGTGATGGCATAGAACCTTGATCCAGTCTTGAAGATCTTCTCTCAAGAACCTTCAAAGAAGTTGGGTAGAAACTTGAAGAAGACAAAGAGATATTTACTTAGGGCAGCCTTGTGAATCCCTCACAACTCCCCTTCACTCGATCTCTCACTCTTCAATCACAAAATCTCTCCCAAACACGCTCCCTAAAGGTCACACTCAAGAGAAATTCAAAGCAAAGGATATAAAAGACAATTTTAGGACTCTTTATATATAAAAATATAAAAAATCATCCAAAAACTAAAATTTCCAAGAGAACTGCCACACGATTGTATTATATGAGAAATACATAATGAATATATTCATTCGGTACGCTCTGATACAAACATAATTTTGTATACTGTCAATTGTCTGTATAACTTGACATTGTACTATATAAATAGTTAAAAATGAATGTGTTAATTTGATATGATCTAGTTCGAACCAAATTTAATACTCTGTCAGTCGTCTATACGACTTGATGAAAGATTGTGTAGGCTGTTAGACATTATATAACTGTCCCAAGGCTAACTAAGAGGGGGATGAATTTGTTATTTAAAAAAAATCTTTGATTTTGGAAAACTTTTTTTTATAAATCTTTTTAGAAGATTAAAAAAACTAATCTTGAAATATGCAGTTGTTTATAGAAATGACTTTCACGGATAATCTTTCAATCACAAATATAAAGAGCAGTGAAAAAAATATAGGAAAAATAAAAGGTAATAGAATAACATGAAATTTTATAGTAGTTCAGTCCAACTAGACCTACATACACTCCCTAGAGTCTCCTTCTCCAGGTATTGCACTAAATAATAGTGACTCTCCTTTTGCCCCCATTGCAAGGAGATCAGGGGGTGAAGCCCTTACAAACTCTCTTCCACCAACCCACAGCGATAGAGAACTGTCACCTTTTACACTTTTTAAGTATTGGTAGCATACCTTCTCATCCTTTTTTAACCACCTGGTGAAGGTAGAGTACCTGCATGTCCTTTTTCACACACCTGGTGAAGGCAGAGAACCATCACTTCTTTTTCACCCTCCTGATAAAGGAAAAGATCCTTGATCCAGTCTTGAAGATCTTCTCTTAAGAGACTCCAAAGAAGTTGGAAAGAAATTAGAAGAAGAAAAAATAGATCTTCACTTTGGGCAACATTATGAATCCCTCACAATTCTCTTTCACTAGATCTCTCATCTCCAATATCAAAATCTCTCTAAAACACACTTCCACTAGTCACTCTTAAGAGAAAATTCAAAGCAAAGGACAGTTATGACAATTTCAGGACTCTATTTATATAAAACACATGAAAAAATGTCCAAAAATTGAATTTTTAAA